TGAATCAACTTCACCAAATGTCCATATAATCAACTACATACCAATCAAAATTTTTTTGGGGTTTGTTAATATAAGAAATGTCAACATTAACTGGCATTTTATTCAGATTAGTTGATACTCAGATCATTTAGTGAATATTGAATTGACAGGTAACAATTGAATTCCGAAAAATGGTAATTGATATTGATTGAATGACTTTCCCTTTACTCCACTGAAGTTAACCCTAGAATGACTTACACTTCACTCCACTGAAGGTAACCCTAGATTAGTCACCATATGAGGGAAAGCCCACCACGCGGCGTTTTTCTTCAATTACAATTGACTAGCTAACCGAAATATTTTTTAGAAAATTGACTTTGTCAATTGAAGTGTCTAAAGAATTATAGTAGTTTCAAAAACAGCATATTTCCCGAAAGTTCTAAGGAAAACAAATTATTTCGAACAGATGCATTATTTTTTCTGTATCCAATGAAATTTCCCAAGAGGCGACGTTGCCGGAAGCTCGCTAAACGCGCGCGGGTAGTGTAAAGTGAATTCGGCAACGCTAAAACCTAAATAACACGGCAGCGAATCCCCGCGAAGGTGACCAAAATCGCAGGGTCGGGTTTGGTGACTAGGCTAGAGTTAATGAATGTCAGGTTTGTGGAATTTAACGATAATCTTTAATTTTTGCATACTCTTCATATTGTGATTTTTCGCAATTTGTTCATCCTGGGGAGCGATGGGACTTGATGGCACAGAGTGGAGGGATATTCGACACGTCGATCAATTTACTCTCCAATACATTAATAAACTGGATAAAAGACAAATTAATTGTAGAAGTTCACTCTAAATATGGACGATTCTTGAGTTCGTTGGACGTCTGTGTCAAAAACAAACCAGACAATGTAATTGTCCTGAAGGACAATTGTCACCTACTACAGTCTTTATTAATTGGAAATTTTTCGAGAGGCTGTAACTGAGACAATGACCAGGTAAACTCGGACATTTTTTTGCAGTCCAAAAATCTCGTTTCTATCACTCTGGAAGCTGCACGTTGGAGTTTTTGGAGATACGGAAATAAAATTGCAAATACTATCGAGAATATGTGCTTGTTGAAGAGCACATTATCCAACTATTTTCGGAGCATGAAAAGTTGCACAAAAATATTTTTTTTCGACCTTTTTTTGCATTTTTGAATTTGTTAGAATTTTGTTAATAGATTGTGGCAGGAAATTTGTTAAATATTTGACTTGTCAATATTAATATAATACAATTTTTTAATATAATAATTATTAGAGTTGAATTATTTGCCAGATAAATTTTCAATACTTATATCTTTTCTTTTTAATTTCTCGATAATTTTCCTTGGAATTTTTTGAAGCTTCTCATAAAATTGCCGATTCTGATCCTTCCCTCTTCATCACGTATTTCCTCGTCGATGATGATAGCTGCGGCTTCCAATATCTCCGGAACAAAATAGTATATTTCGTAACGAGTGCAAAAAAGTGTTTTTTGGCGAGTGGGAGGTTTATATCACGAGCCGAAGGCGAGTGATATAATCCCACGAGCTAAAAAACATTGCTTCACGAGTTACGAACAATATTTTTCATCACAATGTGGCGGAAATGTGGCGCGTGCCTAAAAGTCCACTTTTCGTCACAGCGTGATGAAAAAGAATTTCCTGCATTACAATTGAGAAACAAACTACTCAAATCAGCACAAAGTAACCACATGAAAATTGAAATTCATTTAATTGTGGGGGCAACCCACACGGAAAAATTTATATTTTGAAAAATATATTTAAAAATATCTTAAATTGACCCAGTTTATATTTTAAAAAATACATAATATATGGTTTATATATATTAAAAAAAAAACAATATATTTATTTTGAATTATTTTATTAAAAAAAAATATATTTAAAATATATCGAATTGTCCCATATTATATATTTTCACAGCATATTTTTTGATGGGGAATTGTTCGATGACATTCTTGGTACTCGTAGCCCTCTCCAACCAATTTTTACTTCCGAATGGAAGCATTGTAATCGACCAAATTTAAGTTTTCGATTTTTTGTGTTATATCAACCCATTATGATCCAAAAAGTCTGAAAATGCAATTTTTAGACTGCGTCCGTACGTGTGTACGTATGTATGTACGTATGTAACAAATATTTTCTTCAATTATTCGCCAGTTCAACAATAGAATTCAATCTTTTTTTTCTCAAATGTAGGTCTTACTGAGCCCCATCTACTGCCATCAATTGAAATTCAATTCATTAACGCATTCTTATAATTTTCGAATTTTTTCAAAAATCGGTTTTTTTACGATAACTAAAAAAATGTTTCAAATTCATTAAATAACGGCTTAAAAAAATTGTTGAGATACCCTTTCGACCGAGTTCGAAGATGAAGACAATAGCAGTAATCGTTACTGTGATTTTTGTGAAAATTTGAAAAAAAAAATTTTTTTTGAAAATCAGAATTCCGCAGATATCTTTGGATTCCTGGCTTCGAATGTATTGTATCATGGCTTGNAATATATTTAAAATATATCGAATTGTCCCATATTATATATTTTCACAGCATATTTTTTGATGGGGAATTGTTCGATGACATTCTTGGTACTCGTAGCCCTCTCCAACCAATTTTTACTTCCGAATGGAAGCATTGTAATCGACCAAATTTAAGTTTTCGATTTTTTGTGTTATATCAACCCATTATGATCCAAAAAGTCTGAAAATGCAATTTTTAGACTGCGTCCGTACGTGTGTACGTATGTATGTACGTATGTAACAAATATTTTCTTCAATTATTCGCCAGTTCAACAATAGAATTCAATCTTTTTTTTCTCAAATGTAGGTCTTACTGAGCCCCATCTACTGCCATCAATTGAAATTCAATTCATTAACGCATTCTTATAATTTTCGAATTTTTTCAAAAATCGGTTTTTTTACGATAACTAAAAAAATGTTTCAAATTCATTAAATAACGGCTTAAAAAAATTGTTGAGATACCCTTTCGACCGAGTTCGAAGATGAAGACAATAGCAGTAATCGTTACTGTGATTTTTGTGAAAATTTGAAAAAAAAAATTTTTTTTGAAAATCAGAATTCCGCAGATATCTTTGGATTCCTGGCTTCGAATGTATTGTATCATGGCTTGAAATATTTGTATTGATGCCCTTAAGTGGAAGTTGAACGATGGTTACGATAACTGCCTCCGTTGATTTAATTTTGGTATGATAATTTTCAGAAATTTCAAATTTTTCATCAATTTCCCCGAAAATTAGCTTTTTCATGGTTTTTTCAAATGTGATGTTTCAAACTCAATCAATTATGAATAAATAATTTTTTTTCAATGATATTCTGTTGAAATTTTGTTATGATATAAATAGTATCATTCTATCATTTGATTTATACAAGAATTTCAGGTATCGCTTATGGTATTCGAAAGTTTGTTGCCTTTCCATGATTGTGAAAAATACACTTTTGAATGAAAGAAAAAGATTCAAATTCATTTAAGGTTAATCTATTTATTTAATAATTTTAAGGATTCGTTAAGGATCGTTACTGCGATTATTATAATGCATTTAACTATATTCATAATAATCGACAGTCATAACCTACGCGTGGCTTATGGAAACGACAAACCTGTTAAATACAGAGCTTAGAAAGAAGCCAATTGTAATAGCTAGAAAACGATTCAATGAAAATATAAAAGCGAAATGAAAACATGAAATGTAGCTTATAAAATGAATGCTACAAAGTAACAAGGAGAGTGATGAAAAAATAATGAAAAAAAATAAATAAATAAAAAGTTCTATAAGAGAAAATAATAATAAGAATAATAATAATTATAAAATTCAACTGAAGAGAAAATTTGACACAATTGATTGAAAAGAAACTTATTCAATTTAATGAAATAAAGTAAAATATAAATCATATACGGAAGAAAAAAAAATGCAACAAGACCATTCGGAAGCATATTACTAATTTATTGGCAAAAAAAGCTATACTATATGCTATACATCGGCAATTTCCCACTTGTTTGAAGTACAGAATAAACCGCCGAAGTGCCCTAAAAATCCCATCTCAGTCTACCTCACTGCTCATTTTTTGTTTATTGTCCAGTATAGCCCGGTATCCCATTTCACACCCCTCTACTTGACTGCCAACCGACCACAGTCAGGAAAAACTTTCAAACTTTAACTACTAGTGAGAATTGTCAAGTTACATTTCTGTATCAAATTTTTGGTCGTTCTCAATAATCCCTGAGAAGGAATAATTTATCCAAAATTACCATGTCACCATTGATTTTCACACTAGGATAACTTAAAACGTCATATAACATGAATAAATGTTTTTTCAATAAAAAAATCATTGATTCAAATAGATATAAATGGCAATTAATAATTGATCGTAAAAATGGAATTCATAACGATTGATAATTTAAATATGAAAAGGAGAGTAACTGAAAATTAAATTATTTGAAAAAATTATTTTTCGTCTCCCCGGACCTGAAAACCCCATTTTGGTGGCGCTGCAGAAATGAGTGTTTTGCAGGTCCCTCGACACGAAAATTAATATATACACCTTGCCATGGAAACCATATCACCCTCCCCCACGTGCTTGCCATCCTCGCCTTCGGCTCGGAAGGCAACCTTACACGTGGGGGACGGTGGTCTGTTTTCCAAGGCTCGGGCATGTAATGTACTATTTTTGCAATAAATAATCACAATAATTGCTATTTTTCCACCATTCGGTTTTCATGTTCAATTTCTCATTATTAATTCAATTTCGTTTTTGTTTCATTTTTAAAGCTATTTAGAGTTTAAAAAAATGTATACATAGATTTAAAAAATAACCAGGAAACAGTCGATTAACAAGTGAAATTGAATTCATTAAAGTCTAGCTCCTCCACCACCGTCTCTTTGTTTTCTTCCTCCCACCATTTTTTTAAATACCCAGTGGGGAACGGAACGAGGGGCGTACTGCACTTGAGCTTGAGCGTACGCAACGGCTCCTCGCGTCGATCAGTCTGCGCGAGTCCATGGTCGGACAAGGATCGGCTTTTCATTCAGTGTGGGTAATTTCCATATGCCAAAACGTAAATCACAGGAATTAGCCAGTGTGAGCCGGCACTTGTACCACGATATCATTGATAATTGTTGAGTCGGCTATGGTAGACAGTGATTCCAAGTGAAAAGGGTCATTTTTTGTCAGACGGGCGAGATCTCGGATATTTTTCCTAACGAGTAAGGTGAGGGAATATGTGATTTTTGGATGTTTCTGTTCTTTATTTTCCTATTCCGCTAATTAATTGTTGATTGTTGATTGATTGCCTTTCATTCACCTCTTCTTTTCTGAATGCGTGGTGATTTTTTTCAATTATTAAAGACTTACTGCTTCGATTATTTGATTTTTTTTTCAAACATAAAGAATAAGAGATTTATTTTGTGGATGATAACAGATAATTCCATATATTATTGACACTGATCACCTTTTGTTTATTCATTCTCGATCAAAATATTTTCTCTCTATTTCTGGAGTGATTAATGAGGTAATTAAAGCCATGTTTTGTGGCTAATGTAACGCGAGAGATTCCTGGCAATGATGTACATGAACTATATTCGTGTACACAGATCTAGGAGAGAGATATAACTGTTTAGCCACTGAAAAAATGTAGTTTTTCATTGTTTTTTCGCTTGACGAATTTATCTTGATCAAGTTTTAGTAAGTTTTGTTCTGATGGAATGGTAGTGTTTAGTGTCCCTTACGTTACTCTCTCCCCTGTTCTCTACCCTTCAATTATCTTTTTCATAATACTGAATGACGAGAATCGGTGGTGAAGTAAGGAATTGTTAATTTCGCTCTTTATTATTGATTCACTTCGGGAATGATTGGATTCAGGAGAATATATCAACTGACTTTTTATATTTTTCTATAAGACTATTCCCAACCGAGGTAATGAAAAATCGAATTTCGCAAGATGCGAAATAGATGCTTTTTTTGTAAAAATCGCAATGAGTCAAATTCGATTTCATTAATTATTTATCAAGTCGAAATCGAGTACATATTTCCAACAAACAATGGCATCTGACATTTTCTCCTAAAACCACTCGTTAACGAGGTAATTCAATATTAAACAAAACGTTAAAAAAAGACTTTTCAACTAAAATCTCAAACACATTGTTTATAATTGTTCATTCATCTCGATAACTTGTGATTCTAAAGAAATCTTCAGTCTTCAGAAAATTTCTCGCAACACAACTCGTCACCGAGACATTTCACAGCTTGCCTTTTCCCATACTCCACCACCGATTTTTTCCCTAATTTGTCTTGAACATTTTCTACTAAATTTATTTTCTATAATAAAAACATGAAAAGACATGTGATTGCGCACGTAACGATTTCTATAAATGGTCAAATCGAAAATAGACTCAGGAATAAATAAAGGGAGTTTCTATCGCCAGTGATGACTAGGTTAGTCCACAATACCCCAGAGAAACGTGTTTCACGGAATTATAAAAATATCAACTTCGCACTCTCGATTTTTACTGCAGGCAAATCGATTAATTCCGTGGGAGAGACTGACGTAGGCTAACGAATTACCGTGGATTACATTATGTTACTTTTTTTTCATTTTCCACGTTTTAACAGGTTGAGCATCAAGCAAATTAAGAACAAAAACAATTGCATAATCGATGATAGCGAGGCGATGAGCGTGAGGGACTGAGCGAGGGAAAAAAATTTGACAAAAAGTGTTTGACAATGATGCAGAGTGAGGCAAGACAGAGGCCAACAGAGTGCACAGGTAAATTACTAGGGGAATATAGTCACGAGTGGATGAATGGAGGATTATTCATTGATTCATTAGGAATATTTGAACTCCGACAAGATTAATTTTTTTTGTTTGTTTGAGGGGAAAGTGTTTGGGAATGTTTGGACTCGACTATCTGTTTGAGATCAGAATCATGGACTTTAGCTGAGACATTCAAGTTGATAGATCAATTCGGTTGTCAAGTGGTGAAACGTGATCAGTTCATTTTTAAGGTTTCAATAATTTTGGCTTTACTTCAAGACGGAGTGTGCACAGAGAGAAATATTCAGTAAAAATTACGGAACAATTCGCGTAATCCGCAATGGGGAATCGTTTTCCGGTAATTTTTATAGGAATGGAAGAGCAGAAGTAAAATCTCACAGAAACTTCCCGACTTATTATGCCTCCAAAATCAAAAATTCTTGAACGTTCAACAATTTTTATGAAGCTGGTTAGTTATTTCTACGTTCTGTTCCGTAAAATTTCTCAATCGTTGGGGAAAAATTACGGAACGACTTTTTGTCCCCACAGCAGTGAGTCATCAGACGGGTGGTTAATTTTTACGGAAGAAATCGTAGAATTTACGTGGCGATTCGTACAATTTCAGATCCGACTCACACTTATTGAATATTACTTCGATCGCGGATTACGTTTTTGAAACGTAATTTTTACGTTTTTTTCTGGTAATTTTTATTGAATTACCAGAAAAAAAATTCTCTCCGTGTGTCTATAACGAAGAAGGTCAGAAAGGCTTTTCTGTGCCCAATGGAATTTTCTACGGAACATATTTGCAACTTTCTTTTGCATAAAAACGCTGTAACGAGATAACTCTAATCCAAGAAGATGTGAAATTTTTGTAAAGAATTGAATTTTCAGTAGTAATAGAACTGGTGTTCGGATTTCGGCCGATTGGAATGCAGTATTTGGATTAAAAAAAGAAATATGGAGCCTTAGCTAGCCTCGAATACTGCCAACTTTGATTGGTTGATATCCGGGTGAGGAAAATAACTTATAAAAAGAAGTCCTGTAACGGTTTTCGCTAAAATCATATCAAGATCATTCCAATTTGAAAGGACATAGAAAAGCAACTTTTTATGTAAAACGTGAATCTTAAAATATTTTTTTTGTATAGTTTTAGAAAGTTGTATTTCCCATAAAAGTGTTTCCTGACATTTCCTACCACAACCATTTGTTATCGAGATAATTCAACATTTACAAAGATGTTAAAAATCACCGCGTCCTGTCACGTCTCAACCTTTCATGAATCTCATTCACTGCAGATTGACTGTCACCAACAAATTGTTAATCACTAGCGTAAAATTTAATGTTCATCACCGATGAATTTTCATCCGCCAATATTGAGGAGTAATTAATACATCAGGTGATGTTCACATAACGAGGTAGAATCGATTTTCGCTCAAAATGTAGCTTCAGCAATTTGCATTGAAACGAGGAAAAAAATCACTACATTTAGCACAGTCGTTTTTGCATCTTTCTCATTACTTTTCTGTAGGTCAGATGCTCTGTAAGGGAAGAATTAATCAATTAAGACAGTAACTGTGTTTAACACAATTGACTCGAGAACTCATTGAATTATTCCGTTTGTGTAGTATTTTTGTACATTCAATGAAGTCTTCCGGATTTCATAGTCAAGACATGCATGGACATTGAGTCTCTAAGTTGATTCATCTAAACATTTTGTGCTTGTTAATACCTCGATTTCTTGGAAGATTTAATTTTTGTTCACTGTTGAAAATTTTTCGCTGAAATTTCTGGTACGATTTTTTGAAAACTTCTATCAAGGAACAGTTTCACTGAAATTTCAAGAAATTCCATCATTGAGAATTCACAATTTGATAAAAAAAAATCAATGGAAGCTTTACAAAATGAACAGCGGTGGCTGGAGTGGTTAACTCTAGATTGGTCACACTATGAGGGAACCTGCATAGAAAAAAATGCAAGTCAAAACTTATAAGTGAAATATAGTGATTTTGCCGGAATTATATCTTGAATATATCCGCCTTGTATACCAGGTATATGCTAGATATATCCGGTGATATATATGTACAAACTCATATCCAACATATATCTGAGATATTGCGTTTTTTGCCGGAAAGTATATGCGGCACTTATAAGCGGATATAAGTGACATATATTTCTGTATATATATTTTTTCCATATGGGTAAACCACGCCACACGTTATTTTTCTTTAATTACAATTGACTGGTTCACCGGAAAAATTCAAAAAAATTTGACTTTGTCAATTGAAGTATTAAAAAAATTATAGTAGTTTTTCCCAAAACATATTCAACATATTTCCTAAAATTCCTAAAGAAAACAAATTATTTCGGACAAATCAATTATTTTTGGTTCCATATGTATACCCCCTCGGGTTTTTACATTTTGTTCCCTTTCCTATCTGCGTTACCATGGGCCGACTTACTTTATCCCCAACTGCACCCCATTCGGGATTGGACTGCCAGGGAAACCATGGAAAACCTCAGTCGTGCAGGTGGCCGATAATGGAGGGATTCCACTGTGTCCATTGGTCACACTGACTCAATGGGCACAGTTCTCTACATTCGTTCCTAGCGACTGTAGTCCCACGCGGTTAGGTGTGCCCAAGCGGACACCCATCCAAGTACAGGGCAGACTGAACGCTGCTTAGCCTGGATGACCGCGGAAGCCACACACTCCCCGCGTGACCACTACCAGCCACTTGACAAATCAATTATTTTTTCCCATGTTAAATGAAATTGCTCATGAGGCAACGTTGCCGGAAACTCGCTAAACGCGCCCGGGCAGTGTAGAGTGAATTCGGCAGCGCTAAAGCCTAAATAACACGGCGGGAAATCCCCGTGGAGGTGACCTGACTAGAATTAACCCTAGATTGGTCACCCTACGCGGGATTCCCGCCTTTTTCCGTATTTTTTTTTTACAAGTAAACGATAGTTCGGAAAATTCTGAAAAAATTCAACTTTATCAATCGAAATGTCTAGAATTTAATAGTATTTCCATCACTGAGTCCCGCTAACCTGCACCTATCGGCTTGTTCTGCGGCCGATAGGTGGCGATTAGCAGCCATGGACTTGATAAAGAGGAACGGCTGACTTCATGTCGCGCTTTAGCGCTCCTAGACTCGTTAAATATCCAACCTCAAACCAGCTGTTTCACACTGCCCCTGTTCCTCATTTCGTCTTGTTCTTTATGCTTTCCGCACATTCACCATCGAAAATTTTCTGTTATCCAATTTTCATTAGAATCATCCTTTTAGACAGAGAATTTCCGATTCACTCATTATTATCACTTTTTACGTTTGTTCTAGTTTTTCATTCAGTGAGGAGAAGCGAGGGGGAGGTGGGCTCCATAAAAAATTGAGAAATTTGTATCCAAGAATGAAGAAATGGAAAATCTATGGACTTTTTTGTATTAAATATTATTTTAAGAATACGAGATGGTAAAATTGAATGATCTCCGATAGAATTAGCACAACAAATCAATAGAATTTTCACAAAACTCCAATAGTTTTTCAAGGGTTCCAATACGAATTCAGTAGAATTTTTCTATGGAAATACTAGGTTTTTGTAGTATTTTTCTTATACCTAACAAAGTGTACAAATTACTTCAATTTTTATATTTTTTTTCTTTTGTGAATTTTTTTTTCAGTGGGGGGGGGCTTCGCCCCCGAACGCCTGCACCGGGGGCTTCGCCCCCTGGACCCCCTTCACCGCCCCCACCCCACCCCTCCTTTGCGGGACTTCGTGATCCTTATATATAAAGGAAAGCATAATGGCTGCCGAATGAAAACTCGAATTGAAGAATGTCGAATCGGTTCACCGAAAGTCGAAGTCGAACGGACGTGTTCGATCATGAACTTATGAAACAGAAATAGAGTGTCGTATCGAATAAATTGCCACATGTTGTTATCTTCAGAGTCATTGCGGCGGGTGAAAGACGCATTCTCATGAGAACTTTCATGAGAATGAGCAATTCGGCCGCGACAGTGCTATTTACGAAAGTACGCTAGAATTACAAATCGGATTTCTAACCTCGAATAAGAAACGAACACCGTGTATACATTAAATACATCAGTGCATATTTTCTATAATACACGCATTTGTTTATAATTAGTGGAATGGGAAATGATTTTTTGGTGATAAAAGTTACGAGCTGACAAGATTAAATTATAGATGATTAATGAACTTGAATGTCGAGAATGAATTGAAAAAAAAAATAGAAAATCTAAAAATATTCAATTTTAAATTTTTCATTCGATTTTGGTTATTCGATGGTTTGTTTAATGAAATCAATACTTATATGACAAAATAAAATAATATTGATTTTTTTGCCATGGACCTAATTTTTGGTGAAATTCTGAAAACGGAAGAATTCGTTATAATTCAGGAATAGTACATTACATGCCCGAGCCTTGGAAAACAGATCACCGTCCTCCACGTGCAGTTTGAAGTTTATGACATCGTCGAATAAAATTGTGAAAAAAATCATGAATGAAGCGAAGACACTTCGAATCAGCGAAAGAACATCAGAATTGACCCCATAATTTTTCTGGAAAAATAATTGAATACTGTCAAGTTGTAAATGGAAATAAAC